TTGCTGGCATCTATATTTAGGTTCTGGCCCATATCAATACATGCTTGGGGGTAACATTTCTGATGCATATTCAGTACCATGTACCATCTCTACATGCAAATGCTTGAAAGGTTTCTTTCTTGACCTCTCCTTACACAATCGTTGTAAGATTGCTATTTTGATCCCATTGCTTCCAGTTCAGTTAAATGCAAAATAATGATCAGACTGCTAAAGAGTTATTTTAAAGATTGTATTTTGCTGTTAATTCATGCACAGCAGACACCTTGTGCAATACCTAATGTCGTGGTTTAACCCCAGCAGCAGCCAAGAACCACACAGCCTCTCACTCACTCCCCCACCAACGGGATGGGGGAGCGAATTAGAAGGGTAAAAGCTACAAAAACTCATGGGTTGAGATAAAGACAGTTTAATAGAGAAAGCAAAAGCTGCACACACAAGCAAAGCAAAACAAGGAATTAATTCACTGCTTCCCACAGACAGGAGGTGTTTAGCCATCTCCAGGAGAGCAGGGACCATCACACGTAATGTTCCTTGGGAAGACAAACACCATCACTCCAGATGTTCCCCCTTCCTCCTTCTTCCTCCCCTTATTATATACTGAGCATGATGTCATATGGTATGGAATATCCCTTTGGTCAGTTTGGGTCACCTGTCCCAGCTGTGTCTCCTCCCAATCCCCCATGCATCCCCAACTCCCTTGCCATGTGGCAGTATGGAAAGCAGCAAAGGCCTTGACTCTGTGTGAGCTCTGCTCAGCAATAACAAAAACATCTCTGTATTATCAACTCTGTGTTCTGCACAAACCCCAAGAATAGCCCCATACTAGCCTCTGTGAAGAAAGTTAACTCTACTTCAGCTCAAACCAGCACACCTAATCAAACCACCACGGAGAGGCAGACAAGGGAAGGCTGCTCAGGAATGTTGTGTGCTCTGTGTGCTGCCAGCATGGGCACTGGCTGCAATCCACCTGCTCAGTGCTGCCAATACCTGGGACCTGGCTGCAGAATTTCTACATGATTGCAGACATCCTCAAAGGGGAGGAGTTCCTGTAGACACCAGCTGAAGCAAGACGCCTCACAAACCAAAGTTCAAGGTGAGAACCATACTAGATGGTAGCTTATTTAAGAAATCTTTTTTTTTTTTTTTCCCCAGCACAGAAAATAATACTGGGTAAAATGATGTAACTTGGGGCTTGTTATTGCACAGGGTCACAGTCTGATACTTTTGCTCACGCTCAGCATTTCTCCCTGTACTAAAGGCAAGGCTAGAAAAGGGAAGAAGGCTATATAGTTTCCTATTGAAAAAATGACAATAACAATGCGTTTTTAATGCTGGTCACAATGGATATTATGAGGAATGGAAATTTAAAATGAAAATGTTGAGGAGTGAGTTCTTAGCAGCAGGGAAGCTCAGGCATTGCTCAGTGAGGTTCAGGTGCATTTCATGATGTCTGAATGCTGCTCTTAAACCTGCTGGTCAGAGCTCAGTAAGGGCAGGTGAGGAGGGGCCAAACTCTCTTGCCTGAACTTGCCAAGCCTATGGGGACAAGGGAAGAGGCAGCTGCTGCTTACCTGGGGGAGCTGATAGAGACACACTGGAGAAAGGGGAGAGTCATCTTTTCCCTGCTGAGTACAAGGGCAAATATATTGCCCCAGGTTCATGGGGCAGTTTTCTGAGCAGTAGGGAGCAGGGCAAGAAATCAAACAGTTTGTCCTAATACTTTAAAACCTGTTTCTGTCTCCTGTTTTGATTTTGTAAAGGTGTTTTTTTTGTGAAACCATTGCCATACTCTGGCTGCTGCCTCTGTAGAAAATGGAAGAGTGATTAGGCTCCAGAAAAGCAGCACCTATGCTAAGCTGTACAGTGTTTTTGCTTTCTTGATCCACCTGGTTGACTGCTACTGCATGCTTTCTGAAAGAAAATCTATGCTTTGGTTCTGTGCTGGGGGAAAAGATGTCTTAGCCCATGGATAGCTCATTTAGCTTCTATGCTTTGGTTCTGTGCTGGGGGAAATGATGTCTTAGCCCACGGATAGCTCATTTAGGTAATAACCATTAATTTCAGTGGTGTTTGTACATCAACTCAGCAGGGATGGATCTCTGTGCTTTTGTAGAAGTGGGAGCTATGGAAGAGACACAATGTAATTTTTCTTTAAGAAAACAAGGGATGTTCTAGATGTATAAACTCCTCCAGCCAAGCACTGCTTGCCCTGATCTGCATGGTCTCATTGATTTATTAATTCTTAAAATTATTAAAAGGATCCATGTTAACTTGTGCCTTTTAAGGATTTTTTATCAGCTTTAGAGCATGGGATGGAGCAAGAATATTTTACAGGTAGAGGGAATACAAGCTCAGTTTCTTTTCTTTGTGTTTTTTTTTTCTTTTCAATACCTGTGAATATGTTTCAGATGTCCAGCACATTCATACAGAGGAAGGCAGTACACTCTTAGTGCTCAGACTCTGAACCCTGAGTCAGGGTAGGCATTGATATCTCTCCCCAGAGCCTTCTTCAAGGGGCAAAGGCAGCAAGCTTTGTGTCTGGGTGAAATTCCCCTTTGGATCCTGCCACTCTGCTTCCCAAAGTCCTTAACATTTGGTTAGAAATAGCACTACACAATTCTAAAAATGTTTGTCATTGCTTCTTGAGTAGGTTTTCCTGGGCATGTCTAAATAGCACCAAAGTATGGCTGCCTTTGTGCCTGGAAAAATATGATTAAGACCTCTGTTCCTGATGGAGGAGGTAGAACAGCTTTTAATCATGGCTGGAGCCAATTTTGACTAATATGTGAGTATTTATTTTTAAAAAAGTAAACTAAAAAAACAAAAATAAAAATTCAGATTAAAGAAATTTTTAAATATGTAGTTTTACTTGCAAGGACTATGCCAATGCAAGACTCTTGTTTGCAAATTCTGCAGAAATCTACTGATACAATCTAC